CCCCAAAACCCCAAAACCCCAAAACCCCATGATGCATCTATTTGAAGAAAATCAATACGAAATCCAATAATCATTAATAAATTTAGTAAAATAGATATATAATGGCATCATAATCAAATGAAGAGTGGGAGATCATATGCTCAGATGCTCTACTTAAGGGTCAGAAGATATGCTAGATTCCTTATTACTATCAAGGTTCATTTTTATGTCAAGCTTGTAGTCAGCTGTGTAAAAGTGATATATCTGGTATAAAGAAAACTGAGCATTATTTCTTCCCATTCTAGTGCTAATGCCAATTCATTGACGGTGAATGCTTGTTCAAAGAAAGAATTTAAGATCCAGTTTTGACTCAAGAGGACATCGATCTCAGATAGGCTTTGGTTACAGGAATGGATTAAGCAATAGATAAACTAACCACAGTAGATGTGAAGCCAAACATGCTGCAGTAACAAAGATTTTCTCATTCTTTGGAGGATAGCATAGAAAAGGTTTACTTATATGAGGATGAGTTACTCTAATCCATATGTCTCTCACTTATACCTCAGGAAGTGCAAGAGACTTAGGAATAAGTTGCCTAGCTAAAGGGTTTATTGAAGTGGTTTAAGTCTGACTTCTTCACTTGGTGTGACTAGCCAAAGTGTACAAAATGTGGTAGCAATAAGAATGTAGTTGGAACTGGAAATGGGTAGCCCACAGCAGAGGAGAGATCTGACGGCCACGCAGGGAATGTTGAACTCTATACCTGTAATAAATGCAATATACCCTTGAGATTCCCAAGATACAACCATCCGCTGAAACTATTAGAGACTAGAACAGGCAGATGCGGTGAATGGGCTAATGCGTTTACGGCTGTATGTAGAGCATTAGGACATGAGGCACGTTTCGTATTAGACTGGACTGATCACGTTTGGACTGAATGCTACATCAAGTCTACTTAGCGATGGACTCATTTAGACTCTTGTGAAAATGCTTTTGACACTCCTTTGATTTACGAAGGTGGTTGGGGTAAAAAGTTATCTTATGTGATAGCGTTTTCAAAGGATGAGGTAGTAGATGTAACTAAGAGATACGTTTTGAATAAGATGATGAATAGAATGAGAAGGACGCTAGTTCCTGAAAGTTGGCTATAACAGACTATTGAAACTATGAGAGATAGAATGTGGGCGATGCAAGACAACGCCAGAAAGATGGAACTTAGACTAAGGTTCAGTCAAGAACAGTTTTAGCTTCTATCTGGAATTAAAGAAGTCAAAGAGGATGAAAATGTACCAAGACAATCAGGCTCAATGGAATGGAGACAATCAAGAGGGGAAATGGGTTCCTCAGATTCTCCAGCTCAAATTTAATAGCAGTAGTAGCATGAACAGCCACAGCAGAAGCAATAGCAGCAAATTTAACCCTAAACTTAGATCTAGCCATAATAGAAATAAACTATTCAGTCAGTAATGAAGGAAAAGCATGATTAGCAATAGTAAAAACAAGTAGAGGAATAGAAGTATTAGTCTATGGTGCATGAAATGACTGAGCAGGAGAAATATGATCTCTAGTAAAAATTGAAGTTGGATGTGAAGCAGCTTTTCCAGCAAATGACTCTAGGATGTCCAAACAAAAATTGTAATAACAAGGAGTTCTGTGGTAATGCGAATTAAAGCTTAAAAGCATAGGAAGCTACATCCAGACTCCAACTTGTAATGCAAAAGATAAAGAGCGGCTAATACAAGTTTTGTAACTCATCTTGATTTCATAATCTAATTGACTATTCTAAAAGATATAATTATTTCTTAGCAATAATTTTGAGTGCAGGGGTTTTGGGGTTTTGGGGTTTTGGGG